GAACATGAAGAAAATAGATATTTTCGACAGAACAAAAGCGATTTTAAAAATATTAAATAACGATATAAATTAATTTCAGTTTTTTTGCTTCTGTTTTTTTAGTTAGGAGTTTTTGTTTTTTGATTTAGGCAAAAAGTAAGCTGAAACCTACCACAAACCTTACAAAGTCATTGAAAAAAACCTCAGAATACTTCCACAATGAACAGATTTAATCATAGTCATTAATCCTAGAACTCTAAATTTGTTACATAACTAAAAGGCATTTCATTTTTGATTGCACTTGCATTGTAATTTTATCCATCTCTGAATTTAATTTTTTTTTTCAAGCGGAATATCAACTCACCACTGCCCTCTATTGCATATAATGTGTAACAACTATGCCAAATGTAAAATATGTGGGCAGTGATGGAAAGGACATGCAGCTTTTCTACAGTGCTTTTTCTGATCACATTAACTGACTGGTTTCAAAATTCCATTGCTGTAAAGTTCTCTTTTCTATTGTCATACATAAAGGACACAGTTTTACCATAAGAGCCACATTTTTAAAATTAACTTTTAAAATGTAATCACTGTCACAGAGTCACATGATTCAACTACTGTGAATTCTATATTTTTACCAGACTTTTTAAATCAAAGAAGATGTTGTTTTCCAGGGAAAAAGTTTAATGGTGGTCATAGGGTATATGGTCCAGAGCACATGTTGTGATCACAGCTGAGAGATGGTCACTGCTCACGTCATCAGATCATACACCACAGACCATAACCATACAGCTGGCCTCAGAGTAGAGAGCCAACACAGAGACTAACACAGAGCAGGGCTACAGTCTGGAGGCTGGTGGAGTCCTATTCATAACAGTCAAAATGCAGAACTACAGTAAGTGGCCTGAATGAAACTAAAGTTTTGGAGCCAAAACAGTCACGCTGCGCTGGTCACTGGGAACCAATCAGTGTCTATTTAAATAATACCATGCTGGAGTTTTAAAGAAAACTGATGTGGTGTTGAAGATGATGACAGACCAATGTAGAGGGAAAAAAACATGCAGCTAATGAAAATCTTGACTTGAAAACTTGAAACATTCAGTCACATTGTTTTTTCAGGCCCACGAAAGTCAACATTTTATAAAAATAAAACTTTCTACAGGACCATCTCACACACAAATCTACAGGTTGAGAATAAAACCATTTATGCAATACTTGAAGCCAGTGCCACCCAAAAAAAAAAGTATTTTATCATGTTTCCTTTTTCATCTAATTCCATGGCAGAAAAAAAGGAGAGCAAAAATTCTGATGACTAGTGTAAATGTCTGTAGTTGGTCAACAGACATTTATCAGATAGAAATTTCTAAATAATACACAGAGGTCAGACATGAAGCATCATGGATGCATCAGCAGCCATGCAGTGATCCTGTGTTGTGGACACCATGGGAACTGCATCAACTGAAGTCAAACTGTTCTGTCAATGAGCACCAACACCAGTCCCGTGAGGACGTTCTCCTTCGTTCAATTGTATGATCAGAACTCACTGCAAGACGTCTCTCACTTGTGTCCATTTGTTCTACACACATCCAAAGTGCATCGCTGTAGCGCACGTGAAGTCACATTTTGAAACAAACCTACTTCATATCAAAGTGAGGTGAAAAATGTCCCATCTACATTTTGATCTTCGTCGTTTACCCCACACACTCGCAAGTTTAACACCCATAAGAATAACAACTAAGAAAAAATTCTAAAATGTTTTCCAATCACAGTGCAATAAATAATGAAAGATGATATAAAAAAAACAAAAACAAAATAAAACCAGCTTCTCAAAATATCTGTGTTACACTGGTCCGAGTGCAGACGTACCCTGAAGGACTGTTGGGAAGAATGCAGGAAATATTATTGATAACATTTAACCTGCAGTTTAACGGTTTCACCAACAGAGGGGGCTAATTTCTCATTCTGTATCTGAGTGCTTAATGAAAGCAGAAGTGGAGAAAGTGAAAAGGGAGGTTAAAATTAGCTTTAACACTTGACCTCTGACAGCTTCTACTGAAGTATCTGTGACCCTTAATATAAATGAATGTAACTCATTAGATAGGTGAGCTCTGCTACATTACACACCACCGATAAGCCCCCCCCCCCCGCTCACACTCCACTGTAAAAAGGAACACTGAACATTTACATTTCTGGGTTTAATAAATATTTGGTTTAAGCCAAATGGTTGAAATTTTAGTTACCATGGCAACAGTTGTAAACAAACTCTGATGGACTGTTTCTCATTTCACATTTTTAAAATGAACTTGAGGGTTGACAGTGTCCACACTACATTTTTTTGGGCAGCTACACAGCTCCATGATGTGACAACTTGCCTAGAAATACCCAGGATTCTTAACAATGCAGCGGTCCCATTTAAATGCAGTTCAAAAAAAGAAAGTAAAGAAGAAAAAGACTACCTGTGTGTCGTATCCAAATGATACTACAGATCCACAGTGAAGATGACTCTCTAAGGACCAGCAAAGACAGAATGAGCAACTAGTTTTCTACGTTCCACAAAATCAGACCCGACACGTATACAAGTCACTAGAGATGTGGAAATATGTGATGGAGGCTCTTACAGATGGAAAAATAAAATAAAAATAAAAAAAAAAACTCTTCTGGTAAGTAAAGTATCTTCACCAACGTCCAAGTTTAGTGTCAACCCATTCACATGTCCGCAGCTGAAGGATGAAAACTTCAAGGAGTAACTGGAGAAGGAGTATCCTCTCTTTGATGGTACTCAGCAGGTTTCATGCTGACCACAGTTGGGAAGAGTTGACCATAGGCACTCAGCCCGGAGCGATAATGGATGAGCAGGTGGAGCCGAGCTACGCTTCAGAAGTTTGTCCTCCGTACACACACACCTTTCCTCATCCCTGCATGATTGGGCAACGTCTCTTCTGGAGGCACAAGAGTGAGTGAAAAGAGGCATTCACTGCAGTGTGATGAGAAGTGAGCCTGGGAGTACATGAGTGGGGGCCGGGTCTGTGGAGGTGGCATTACCATATGTGAGATTCACAGTGAGTCATTTTAATCACACCCACACCTCCACCTAGCCGTCGGTAGTTCATTCCTCCGTACAATCTGGAGACAGAGGGAGAGAGAGGAGGAGGAGGAGGTGAGGCAGAGAGAAGTCACTGGGCCTCAGGAAGACAAACATTTGTCCAGAGTGGTTTGGAAACCTAAACATAATTGTTTTTCTAACGAATCACAATCATCTCTTGCGCATTTTTAATTGTTAACTGTTGAAATATATTGACATCAGACTCAGTGGAACAAGTCTGTTCTGCATGAGATTTTCTTCAGTTTCTTCCCATAACTATAAGTTATTTGCGAACAATTTCAATTCGAGTCGTTCAGAAATTAAAGTGACATAATTGTGTTTGTCAAGAGGGATATGTTGCTTAAATTGCATAATAGAAATTAACGCAGTAAAATAATTTGGTACTTCATTAGTGAATTTGTAATATACCTATTTGAATTTATATTGAATTATATATGGTATAATTGTTTCATAATCATTTTATGATAATTTTCTCAGAATCACTGGCTTCATAGTTCCCAATCAGATAATCCAATCTGGAGGAACACAGAGATTCCCACAACCATTGAAAACCATTATTAGTGTTTTAATCAAGGCGTTCAGTCTTATGTTATTAAACTGACAAGTTTCACTAAAAGCTTTCCACTTTTACACTAATGTTTCTGAATCATAATAGAAACTCTGGCTGAGTTAGCATATCTAGGAATTCGTAATGACAAAAACAATTACTCATATTAGACAGATTTATTGACTTATTTATGACTAGTATAACAGTGCAGCATATAAAAACTTGTAGTCCAAGTATATACAGTACCTCCACGTGTTGGCGTCAGGGTCGTAAACTTCTATAGTTTTTAGATATGTCGTCCCATCAAAGCCTCCCACAGCCATCAGCTGACCATTGACCACAGCCAAGCCCACCTACCGGAACAACAACGTTATAGCTTCATGCACTAATTAACACATGGTTTTTAAGTATGACTGAATAATACTGTGACGTGTGTGTGTCCTAGCTCTCTACCCCACTGCGTCTAGAGGTCATGGCCACCACAGGAGACCACTGGTTGGTTCTGGGATTGTATCTTTCTGCACTGCTCAGTTCTGTAGTGTCGTCTCTTCCTCCAACAGAATAGATCATGTCCTGGTAGACGGCACAGCCCAGATGTTTCCTTCTGGTCCCCATCGGAGACACTGTGTGCCATCGGTTCTCCTGCGGGTTGTAGCGTTCCACTGGTGGGGAAAAAAAATAAAATCATTCAGTCACAAAATCATCAAATCCACAAAGTAAACTTCAGAGCAGAAAAAGATAGTAGTATTTAAAGAAAGAAAAACAAAATTAATTATAAAACATACCTGTATTCAAAGGTGACGTCCCGTCTGAACCACCAACAGCGTAGAGAAACCCACCTAACACAGCCACGGCTACGCCCAGTCGTCTGGTGCTCATGGAGGCCACACGAGTCCATTTGTTCTCTTTAGGATCATATCTGCAGGCAGTTTGAAGTGACATCATCAATAAACATGAAGTCATAATTACAGATGTGGCACAGTCACTGAAACGTATTTAAAAACTAGTAAAAGTCTGGGGTGGGGAAGATGACCTGAAACCAGCAGAGCAAAATGTGCCATTAGTGTAAAAGCTCTGCTCGCTTTCTGTTCGGCTGGCTGGGCGCTAACTTTATTAATTTCTATTTTTATTTAAAACTCCTCTCTGTCAATGTCAACGAGAAAAGACACCGATGTTATAATCAACTAGAAAATCTATATAAAAGACATGTCATACCTTTCAACAATGTTGAGGCAGGAAACACCGTCCTGACCTCCCACAGCGTACAGATAACCACCGAGGACAGCCACGCCCACACTGGTACGACAGGTGCTTGTGGGAGCTACATCACTGCTCCACTGGTTGGTCTTTGGGTCATATCTGCACAGGATACAGAGATCATTTCAACCTTGTAGATGTGAAATCAACGTAAAAACCAGAGAACACAAACATGAGGAAAGAGGCCACACCTCTCCACAGAGTTCAGATATGATGAGCCGTCGTGGCCTCCCACCGCGTACAGCAAGTCATCTAGAACACTAACACCAACTCCGCATCGCCGCTTGCTCATAGATGCCACCATTCGCCATTCGTTGGTCTGAGGATCGTAACGCTCCACGCTGGAAATGGCATCTCCACTGCACCAACCTCCAACTACAGGGTAAGTGGAGAGAGGAGAGGACAAAATACAGTATTACATCACTTTTAAAATGGTAGAATCCACATAAAACATCAGGCTAATGGTTTTAAGGAATAATTATTAAGGAAAAATAATTAAATCGTTAACTACTTTTGACCAAATCTAATTTATTTTGGGTTTTTTTCCTAGAACCTGAAGATACTGACCTGCAAAAAGCACCTCTCCACAGCGGATGGGTTTCCTGGGCCGTGTCCTTGGACCCTGCATTAGCGGCCTCTCCTGTGGCAGCAGGAGGTAATTCTTAGCTTCATCAACCAGGTCTCTGAAACAACACAAAAGATCAGTCAGTGAGCACTTTTCTCTTTAAGTCACTGATGAATCACAGCTACAGGCTTTCTCTGTATTAAGTTCACCTGCACTCTTCATCACTCTTGATGAGGGGATCCGAGCCCACGGTGCCAACCAGGAATTTGGGACTGAGCAGCGGCAGACGAACGTGCTGTAGGACCTGCACAGCACAATATTCACTTTATTTTTCTGCTATATACTTCAATTTGAGTAACAACATTGTCCTCAGTTTTCCTTTTAACACAGTTACAGAAAGTGTTTTTTTGTTCACAGCACTACCCTCAGGTTCAGTCTTTGAATAACAGATATGAAAAGTTAGTCCGGACTTTTGGATGTGATTTTCTAACCTGTGGAAGCTGCGGCCTACGTTCCTGGATGCTGTATTTGACCCAGGCCATCACTGCGTTAAAGACCTGCTCTTCGCTCCGTACGTTGAGCTCGTCGCTGGAGATGATGTCAATCAGCTGGTTTGCTGGTAACAGCATGAACTCCTCACTTTCCATGACCTGGCACAGAGCAGCATGGATGGCAAAGTAAATACCAAATAATACCAAAATAGTATTTATTTACAGCCATAAAAATGAAAACATACAGGTGCTGGTACTTCAAAGTAACAAAATAACAAAGCGATGGTAGCTCATACATCGTCAACATAAGGTGCAGTCAGTAACAACAATATTTGTCTTACATTTGTAAACCTGCATTTAAACTACAATTTCACCGTCTAAGCCAGAAGTTCTCAAAATGTGTTATATGTAGCAATGGTGCTCTTTGGGCTCCCTCTAGTGGTCCAAAACAGAATCGAACTCCCACCAGGATTAGAAGAGTTTACCTAGTTGTATGTTTTTGTTTTTTCTTATTAATGTTTTCATGTGTAAAGGTGTACAAATATTTTCTGATGATTTAATATGTTGTGAAAAGGTTTGACAACAATTAAGTAATATTTAATTTAAAATGTACTATGTACTCACCTCCTGAAAATTGTGCTGAGTAAACTTATCAGCGATTCGCAGAAGTTCACGACAGGAGTGCGTGTCAGCAAATGCCCTGATGCCCAGACAATTTGAAGGATCCAGCTGCCTCTTCAGAAACTCACAGCAGGCCTCCTGGATCTCTGCCAGCTGGAGGAGGCAGGCCGCAGGTAAAAGTGTCTGCACGTTTCCTTCCTCAACAGTCACCTGAGACCAGGGATGAGAGAACACTGTAGTCTTTAAATGGAGTTAACCACCAAGCCACGAGTAACGTCAATACATGTAGCTTTCATTGTTTTGTTTTTTTCATATAACATAGACATAATATGAAACATATCTTACATGGCAGCATTATTACCTGTGAGGTGTAGGCAAAGTCAATGAGAAGTTCCATGGCTCGCTCATCAATGTCACGAATCACCACCTCCGTCTGCCTGCTCTCTGCTAGCTCTCCAGTAAACATCGCCCTGCAGACGTGACAATAAACACTCACAGCATGAGATTTCATTATGGCGGCCAACTTCAAACCTGTTCCACCTGCACAGTTACTTCGTTTTCTTCTGTTTCTGTCTGTGTCTAGGCACCTGAAGTAGGGGCTGCATGCAGACAGGATCACCCGATGAGCATAAATCTTCTTGGACCCGACGACCAGCACAACATCGCAAAGCTCCCGGTGTTTTCTCAGCAGGTTGATCACCTCCAGGGTCTGCCGCGGGTGTTTGTCCGAGACATAGGGCATACGGGCGGGCTGGGGGACCCCTTCAGGGAGTTTATTGGGGTCCCCCAGGGTACAGCGGCTGGTGATGTCCATTCCTGTGGTGTCTTGGCGTGCGCTGGTGGCCCTTTATATGATCAGACATAGAAGTACTTTGGAGTGCTTTGCACATTCTTCACATTACAAAAAGCTTAGCACCATGTAAGGAAATGTGAAAAATGTCTTGTTTTCAAAAAAGAAATGACATTATTGGCTCAATTTTACAGTTTACATATTTTAGGGAGTGTTAGGACAAATGTTATAGACATTTTTCAGGAAGTTGCCATCAGCACATCACATGACAGTTATGCATATTTAAAATAAGGCCTTATGAGTTGATAATTAGTCTTGCTGGGGCTTCTGTGAACAAAGAGTATTTAAACACACTTGTAACACAGTTTATATCTGTCACCTGTTTGGCAGTACTCTATGACAACTAATTGAGCAGAGACTGTTAATTTAAAAAAAATTAAATATTTTTTACAGCTTACCTGCGCATTGGCTTGGATTACAATCACTGAAGAACAATGTTCGGTGCCACACCCACAAGTTGACCTTAAAGCAAAACAAATTCGATTTTAATTGCTGTCGCCATTGACATTGACATTGAACGCCACACAACCTGTTTTGTATTCTTGCGTCTGGTTTTATTACTTAAGACTGTAATTTTGTTTTTAAACTAGTCAGCTTAATGTTTGTTTTAGAGTTATTTTACAAAACTGTATAAAGTCTATGTCCATGTCATTTAATTGAACTGTTGCAACATCCATTTGGTAACTTTATTTAGATGATTACATTTCTGCCGTGCACTGTCTGCAAACTCTGGCTTATCAGTGACTGTCACATACAGTGAGGGGTGGGACTGTATAGAAGAAACCTTGTTAAATCAAAAAGAAAAAAATAGGGTAAATTGCATTAATATAAACTAATCAAACTTTTTTGTGCAGAATGAGGTTATGTTCCCTTAAGGATGTCGGGACACACCGGGACAGTGTATTGGCTAGCTGTGATGTTCTCGCCCTTAAGTTCACATGCGATTTCAAACTAATATAATGGTCTTAGTGAAACATTCTTTTCACATACGTAATACCAACATGGAAAAACTGAAACAGGGTTGGCGTTTCTTTGGCTGAAATGGACAGGGAATACGTGAGCTCAATTTACAGTTCGTCCAAGTCTACAAACTGTAATGCTAACACGAACTAAGTGCTCGCGTTGTTTTATCAACAGCACACGGTCTACTGTGGTTTATAACTTAAAACAGTCTAATATGAACATGAATGCAATGTTTTACCTTACAACTCCATCTTTACGACGAAGACAAGTCGTCCTATTCGCCAATGTTTACAGAAATGTTTACTGTGGCTAACACTGCGTCGGTTCTTCCTCGATAAAACGCGCATGCCAAACGCATGACGTCACATCCGGCCACTTAAAAACAAGAGCACCAGACACTGTATTTCAAATTGTTATGCTCATGTTTTTTCATGGTACAATTAAGATATGTATGTACCCTTTATAACGAACTAAATGTTATAGCCCCTTAGTAAAAAACAGAAACATTCCCAAATACTAATAAACATTTTTTACGAAATACTCCAAAATGTGTACAAAACGTAACTTCCGGTAGAAAATCCTTTCAGAGTTTCGACCTTTAAATAACCGCATGTCAAATTAAAAAAAAAAAAACATTTTTAATATTGTATTGTATTTTCTCCAATCGGTATTGAAAATTGAGTTTTTTATCAAAGATAAAAGCAATGCATTGTTAGCATGAAAAATGAAATCAGTAAATATACTGGTCAGTCCATTTTTTATGTTTTAATATATATTGTACATGCTGATCTCATCAGTAAGACAGAAATGACATTTTTATCCTTGTACCATCTCCAATGGTTTTAATACAAAGTTTAACCAAATGTTTTACTTTCTTACTAGTTTAACCATATTTGTTAGTGACAACTGATATATCAGTTACAATGGAAAAATAAAAAACATAAATAAAAAAAGTCTTTTGGCATCTTTTTCAGTGAAATGCCACACCTTATTTCTCAAATAAATTAAATATTCAACATATACATAAAAATGTACATAAATTTAAACTCACATATAATAATTGTGTTTTTTTTCATCTTGCTCAAATATAAATACCTTTTTAATTGACTGAAACTAATCCAGTGCCTCAATATAATGCAAGGAAAATTAAATAGTCTTTTTTTTGTGTGTGCTCGACAGTCAACGTTCTGAACCCCAATCTGTGGAGTTTGATTTCAATGACTTTCTTCATGTTTCTCAGAAAGGCAGGAGCTGGGCTCACACTCAGGTGTGACTCACTGGCAGCTGTGTGAGGGGATGAGGCATGAGTGGCTGAGGCAGAAGAGTGTCAAGACCTGAAAAAAGAGGAACCAGTGGATAAATGAAAAAAAAGATATCAAAAAGATTCACACACTCTTACATGGCTCATGTAAATAACATTCACTACAAATGGACTTTGACTTTTTGAATGTGTTTCTCACCATCCATATATGTCAGTGTAGTGAGGAGCTGAGTGTCTGGTGAGATAAAGGTTGTGTATTTAAGCTCCTCCATCAGAGGTGGCGTCAGTTGACCAGGAGTGAGAGCGCTCATAACAGTTGAAACAGGATTTGGAACGATGTGTTTCTTTTGACGAGCGCGGCAGTTCTGAAACCAAACCTAAAATTAAGATTAAGATAAAGATTTTAAATTTGGATTCTTTGCAGAACTCCAGGTAGTCATCTGTACTTTCTGGTTTACCATTTTTGCCAGTGCTTCTTTCCCCCTATGTTCAATAAGGAAGAATGCACTCATTGCCTTTATTATAGTAGATGGAGTGTTGCAGGCTAAATTGAATGATTAACACCTGAAAGTTTGCACTCTACAAATTCTAAGGAATAAGAAGGAAACTCCAAGAAACAGAAAGTTCTAAAAATGTTAAAGCTAAGTGGAGACAGATTTGCCTCACCTGAATAACTCTGCGGCTCAACCCTGTCCTCTCTGCAAGTTTCTGAAGAGTCTGAGCATCTGGGTTGTTATCTTTAACAAACTGTGCTTGCATTACCTACATAAAAAGAAATGGCAGATACTGGGTTTAAAACACATTGTCCATACAGTATTTCCTGACAGCTATGTCAGGTAACTCCATACAGTCCTGCTACACATGAATTCAGATCACCAACCTGTAACTGGTCAACAGTGAAGCTGGTCCTGGCTCTCTTAGCAGGTCTTGATGTGGCACTGGAGTCATCCTTATCTGCCACTTCAATGTCTGTTTTTGGGTGATCTGTAAGACAAGGTACACATTTAGTAACCACCCAGCATGGACCAGACTGAAAGACTGTTGGTAGTTTTATAAAATCTTACAGTGGAAATAAAAATGTTTGTTCACAATCAATTCATGTGGAGAGCAATTTTGACCAGAAATACTGAAATAATAACTTTTATATTTGACATTCATCAATTAAAACATCCTTTGAACATGTGTGTTTTATTTTTACTGTGAACCTAAACAAGGAAAGACATTGGCAAGAATATTCAAACTAGTCTAAGTTTGTAACTATTTCAGGCATTTCTTTTGCGCCAATGTCTCACTGACATACGAGCATAATGTAGCTACTTTGCTTTCTTCATTCTTCATACACATACAAATACTTTGATCCAAAAATTAATTTACTAAAATACATGCAGCAATGTAGAGCAAACAGGCATAATTAATTCTGTTTGGTCTCACGTGACAATAGTTCTAAAGAATTAAAAACTAATTTATTAAAAAAGTTCTAAAGAATTAAAAACTAATTTATTTTTTTTTAAAAATAGCCATCAAATAAAGTGTTAGCCTTTCATGCATTTTGACTTGGACATGACAGTGGTAGCACAGTTGTTAACAAAAGAGTACACACTTATAGAGTTTATTGCAGTAAATACACAGAAATGATAAAGGTTACAAGTTAACAGACTTGTACTGTGTACACATGGCAATGTGAATGCATGTTGCACCTCAGACTGTTTTCTTCCCATCCCTGTGCTCACCATTTTCCTTAGCACGTTTTATATTCTCCACGACAATGTCATAGTGTGGCCGGCAGAAGACCCTGTTCTCCAAAAATCCACATTCCTCTCCTGTAGACAGTTGACGCTTGCAAGAGGTGCAGGAGAAACAGGCCAGATGAAAAGTACTTCCTCGTGCCCGGCGAACCCAGTCGTTGGAGTGAATGTTACGGCCGCAGCGAGCACAGCGGGTCCCGTACCTCCTGAGGAAAATATCAGATGAGATTTGAATGCAGGTGGAGACAGAAATAGAGTTAAACTGAAGCATAGTATAACTTGTTATAAGAAGACTATGTTGAAATGTCCTGACAGTAAAAATCATCAAATCTGTCATTATTAATGGACAGGAAAAGGATGTAGTGTAGTGATCACCCGTAGCCTCTCTGCTCACTACTAATGCTCTTTGTTGCAAAGAGTAATACCCAGGATGAAGCAAATGGGCAGGTGAACTGGTTCTGTTCAACTAATGTTTTTCCACTAACAAGATATACAGGGTGATATTATTATTGTTATAGCCATCATACAGCTACTGAAGTTTGTAAACTTGACGCACCTGAAGTAGTCCAGTTTGCAGAAAACCTGTTTGTCTTTGATGTAGCAGCTAACGTGTCGCCCCAGTGATGTTTTACACACACTGCAGGAAAGGCAGCGCACATGCCAACACATGTTATTGACCTGGAAAAGACAAATGTAAATTTGTATGTAAATTAACACAGTGCACAGTTTATTAAATTTAGAACTAATAAACCAAACGTAATAATTCAGTTAATTATTACTACTAAAGGGTCATACGTGCTCCATTAATTTTCTGGTTCACTCACCATCTTGTGTTTGTGATTGTGTGATATGCCTCAAGTATGAATGATTGGTTGGTGTTTTTACAGAGATTATTTATTTTATTTAAGTAGCTAAAATACTTTTAGAACCAAATCCTGACTTTACCCTTTTAGTTCATTCCACAAGAAAAAAATGCTCTGTATTATACAATTGAGATAAGATACAATTAAAGTAAGTTTACTAATTTCAAGGACAATGTTCTCCAAATTCAGGTAAGTAACAGAATGTTGCATGATGTTCAGGGTGAGGTCTGTTCCTCTCTCTCTTACCTTGAGCAGGTACCGGTCCAGTATTTCCAGGCCACAGGCAGTACACCGAGTTCTCCCTTGCATGGAGGACAAAGCGTGGATGGAGGACGATGATGACGAGGAGAGTGAGGACAGGGAGTAGGAGTCATCGTCAAACATATCATCAGGCCCAGAAGAGCCCTGTGTGTGTCACATGAGAAGCAACACTGTGATGTCACAACTGTATTCAAAAATATTTATTTGATTGGTGTAGGGTGTCTTTTTCTTGTAACCTGGAAGTAAAGACGGATATGAAAAGGTTAAACCAAGTTTTGTTTTTAAGGAAGTAAAGACGGATATGAAAAGGTTAAGCCAAGTTTTGTTTTTAAGTTTTTTCAAACGGTGACTTTTTTTTTTTTTTTTTTACAGAAATGAAGCTGTTGTTTCCTGAGTCACATCTGTACTAATCACATTGTTAACCTGGTCACCTTGTAGATATGGTGTTATTCTGTCAGAATAATTTAAAGGCGTGACTATTTTCTTATTTAAAATGTAAATATTGCCATTTAGTCCTTCTCACAATTTTTCTTTTCTTTAACAGATTAACTACCATGGGACTAACTTCAGTCCCAAAAAGCAAATAAAAACAAAACAAAGTCATCTGGTTTAAAATGTGAGACACGTTGCACTCGATCCATGTATTTAAAATATTTCTTAAAAGGTATACTTTTCTACAAAAAAATAAAAAATAAAAAATGAACTATGCATATGACGTTATACGTCTCAGAGATTATATGAATTACCCCGTATGAGGTGGAACTACTACTAAAAGGCTATTTTTTTAAATGAATTAATTCGTAATTTAAAAAATGCATATTGACAGTAATTTTTTAATCTACACAAAGTTATTTCTGTTTGTTTTTTTTTTACCTGACAGCAGGTGAATGCCCACCTCCGCTTCTAACCCCGGGGCTATCAGAGCTAAGTTTTCTAAATATTCCAGAATGTAGCGGATAGGGCCAGTACACAGGAATATACAGGTAGAAGGAAAAAATGGCGGACTTGTAGTAAAACACCTACTGTGTCGGCAAACGTGTTTTCAGGTGGTAACTGGGTGAACACAGCCTTCGTGGGCACCTTCTCCTCCTCCGACATGCTGTCAGCCTCAACTTTACCCATGACAACGCAGCTCTGACCGAATCAAAGTTACAACCTCGTGACTTCTTCAAACTGCGTGGGTTCAAATGACTCAAGGTCACGGTCTACTGTACGCTCCGACGTACAAAAAAAAAAAAAAAAAAAAAAAGTCCACTTTTTCATAAACGTTAAACTTAGTCTCCCGGCCCGCGTTCACACACTCACGGCTGCAGCACGTTGTCACTGATTGGCGTCAAATCCACTCACATGACGGCGATTCAAATGTACACAGTTTTAAACGACTGCGAATTGTTGTGTCATCTTCCAAAATATATGTACTTATCGATAAAAGTTGTTTGGATTTATTGAGGCAAATTTGCGGTTTTAGGTATTTGTTTTCGTTTAACAGCGTTCTAACGAGTTTGTATTAAATTCAATATACATTTAAATATATATGGTCAAAGTGGAGAAAAATAAGACGGAGTCACTTACAGTACAAACTTAATAACTTATTCCTAAAAAATATTACAAAACGATGTAAAGAAAACATTAATGTCAAATTACTTTTAAAAAAGTGCATAAAATATTATGATTCCGTCACAGATGTATTTAATTGTAATTGTAATTGTAGTATGTAATTCATTTTGGGTGATTAAAAAGTCCCCTTAAATGGAATAATTTATTCATGTTTTTTATGAAAATATTAAATTAACCTAAACATTTTTGAAAAAAGAATGAATGTTAAATTAAAAAACAAGAACAACTGTCTATAAAACTATCTTTCAATTACATTTTTCTCATGGACAGTTTCTTGGAAGTTAAAGTTGAAGTTATATTTTAAGAAAGCATTTGTAGTACTTTTGTATCGCACAATTAATTTGAACTCACAATGCTGCTGGAGACACTGAAGTCAAACATCTGCAGCTGGCTGCTGCTGCTGCCGCTGCTGCTGCCGGGGGGGGGGGGGGGGGGG